CCCCCTTCCTTCCCCTTCCTCCCCTCAGTCCACGGTGTGCGAGAAGATCATGGAGCTGCTGGGGCAGAAGGAGGTGGACCACCGGCAGCGGAAGGTCCTCATCCTCAGCCAGGACAGCTTCTACAAGGTGCTGACCGCCGAGCAGAAGGCCAAGGCGCTGAAGGGACAGTACAACTTCGACCACCCCGGTGAGGCCCCGGCGGCGTTTCCCCCCACACACCCCGTAATAACGCGGGTGGTTGGGGCCGATGGGGCCGGTGGGGTTGGGGCCGGTGGGGTGGGGGTCGGTGTTGTTGGGGTCGGTGGGGTTTGCTGGGCGGGCCTGGGGCAAATGACAAGTACTGGATAACAGAACTGTGCTTTCCCGCCCCAAAACATGCGTTGGAGGGAGGGGGGGGTGCTCGGCACTGCTCAGTTTGTGGTCGGACTCCATGGTCGGTCCGGGGTGGAGCTGCTGGAGAGCACTGCTGGGGAGAAGGGTCTGGGGTCCTGGTGGATCCATGAGCCAGAGATGGGCCCTGGTGGCCAAGAGGGCAATGGGGTCCTGGGCTGCAGAGGGGAGAGTGTGGCAGGAGGTGGAGGGAGGTCATTCTCCCCCTCTGCTCTGCACTGGGGAGGCCACAACTGGAATCCTGCGTCCAGTTCTGGGCTCCCCAGCTCCAGAGAGACAGGAACTGCTGGAGAGAGTCCAGTGTAGGGCAACAGAGATGATGGAGGGATTGGAGCATCTCCCTGCTGAGGAAAGGCTGAGAGAGCTGGGGCTCTGGAGCCTGGAGAAGAGAAGGCTGAGGGGAGACTTATTAATGCTGACAAGTATCTAAAGGGTGGGTTGATGGAGGATGGAGCCAGACTCTTTTCAGTGGTTCCCAGTGACAGGACGAGGGGCAATGGGCACAAGCTGGAACATGGGAAGTTCCACTGCAATGTGAGGAAGAACTTGTTTGGGGTGAGGGTGGCAGAGCCCTGGAAGAGGCTGCCCAGGGAGGGTGTGGAGTCCCCTTCTCTGGAGACCTTCAAGTCCCGCCTGGATGCTCCTGAGTGATGTGCTCTGGGCAACCCTGCTTTGGCAGGGCGGTTGGACTGGATGATCTCTAGACGGTCCCTTCCAACAATTCTGTGATCTGTGATCTTTGCTCTTTCCTGTGAGGGTGGTGAGAGCCTGGCCCAGGTTGTCCAGAGAAGCTGCGGCTGCCCCATCCCTGGAGGGGTTCAAGGCCAGGCTGGATGGGGCTTGGAGAAACCTGGTCTGGTGGGAGGTGTCCCTGCCCAGGGTAGGAGGGTTGGAACTCGAGGATCTTTAAGGTTCCTTCCAACTCTAACCGTTCTATGCTTCTATGATTCTATGACCTTAAAGGTCTTTTCTGACCCAAACCATTCTATGTTTGTCCTTCACGTGTGCACGTTGCTCTGTGAGCACCACAGGGGGTGACTGCACCCTCACAGAGAGCGATGCTGGAGAGCATCCCGCTCACAGAGGGCTCTGCCTCCTCATCCTCTGCTGTCAAGAGGCTCTGTGATAAACCACATCCATCCCCAAAACCCTTTCCTGATGTTTCTGACCAACAAAAAGAGCTGCTCCCCTTGCTCCGGCAGGGGCTCGGGGTTGCAATGGGACAGCGAAGCCTGGAGCCCGCTGTAGCTTCACCAGGGTGGATAATGAAAAGCATGAAAGATGTCTGAGGTTTTCTAAATTACTCTTAGCTAGCAGGCTAAAAGAGTTGCATAGATTTATACAATTACCAAGTGGTTTAGTAAAATTACGCAATTACCCACTTTGCATTTGGGTTCTTAATTTCATTGTACTGTAATTTGCTTATAAACAGCAAATTCTCTCTTCTTTATCTCTCTAACAAAGTATAGCAATTATAGCTTGGGTGGGGAGTGCTGCTGGTAGGAAAGAATTAAGCACAAGTTCCCCTTGTCCTGATGTAATACGAGGCAGAGAGATTTTCCTCTGGGTCTAGAACATCTGAGGAGAACATTCTAGAACATCTGAGGAGGACATTTAGTACAGCAGCATCTGAACATCTTTCTCTTGCAGACGCCTTTGATAACGATTTGATGCACACAACCCTGAAAAACATCGTTGAGGGGAAGACGGTTGAGGTACCAACCTACGACTTCGTGACCCATTCTAGGTAGGTTTGGGGTTTGTGCGAAGCCTGGGGGACGGACGGCCTGACTGGTGTGGGACCAGTTTAACAGGGAGCTCTGGGGGTGTTTTCCTGGCAGGCTGGCAGAGACGACGGTGGTCTATCCCGCTGACGTCGTCCTCTTCGAGGGGATCCTGGTTTTCTACAATCAAGACATTCGGGACATGTTCCACCTCCGGCTCTTTGTGGACACGGATTCCGACGTGCGGCTGTCGCGCAGGGGTAATGCTCTGCCCTCATGGGCAGCCTTGGCCCGCCCCGTTCCTTATCCATCCTCAGCCTTGGGGTAGAACTCAGGGGTTTTATCTTCCCGTCCCAGTTCTGCGAGATATGAAGCGCGGGAGGGACCTTGAGCAGATCCTCACCCAGTACACCACCTTCGTCAAGCCTGCCTTCGAGGAGTTCTGCTTACCGGTACCAAACGTTTCACCAATTTCATTGGGATTTTGGGGGGAGAGAAGGTGCAGGGAGGTCTGGGGATTAGCTACGCTGTAGATGCAGCAGTGGTGGCTTTTGATATTTGTATTTCACAAGTCCCACGCTCTCCCCTCTGCCTTATCTATTGAACCATTACAAACTGCTGGTTTAAGGAGATTCAACAGTTGGTTCCTCATGTTGCACCATGGAAATCCCTAGAGGCTGCGCACGTTCTCTCACTGCCAGGGCTATTTTGCCGTGGGTTCCTTGCACTCAAACTCTCCCTCTCCCCATTTATTCTTAAATCTTGCAGGAAGAAAAGAGCTGGGTCTCCAGCAGGCTCGCTCTCAACAGGGAATGCTGGTGAAAACATGAGGCAGACCATTATAGCGTCTGCTTGCCAGGCCATAGAATTAGGGGCCAAATTAGATACTCACATAATCAAATTAATTTGTAAAAAAAAAAAAAAAAAAAGCCCTTTGAGAACAAAATCCTGTATGTGGATTAAATACGATGGAAAATGCTAACTCAGGCGCCTCTTGCTCTAGATCAAAGCAATTCTGGGATTGTAAAAGTACTCATTAGAAATGCTGAATTTGCCAGCCTTTTTATAAGTAGGGAAAGAAAAAAAAAAGAGAAAAAAGCAGGGGCCCCTACGGTGGTAAAAATCAATCAAATGTCATCAGAGGCGGGAAGGAATTTCACAGGCACATCGGGTACCTTGGCTCTCGGCAGAGATTTAGCAATGGCTTGTGAAATGCTGGCCGGGAGCAGCTCTCAGCAAACAGAGCTCAGCCCAAAGCAGGCGACCTGCCTGAGGGCAGGGCTGTCCTCGGAGGTGTGAGGTGCATGGTACTCCATGCTTGGCCTTCTGCTGGTTCCCTGCGAAGGGGCAGCAAGAAATCCCTGACCTTAAATCCAGTGCACGTGAGCTGTTGTGGCTTCTCAACTCATTCAGGTGTTACTGTGACCAAGAACTTCAACTTGGAGGCCTGGGGCATTGGCTTTCTGGTGGTTGGTGGCTTCTTCCTAGACCGATGCTGGCTTTTCCCATTAACAGTCTCCACAATCATTTCTGTTTTGCAGACAAAGAAGTACGCGGATGTGATCATCCCCCGAGGAGTTGACAACATGGGTAAAAGAGAGCTGGGTTCTCCACCCGATTCCTCTGGGGACACCACCTTTGGGGCTGGGGAGGGAGGAGGTGGCCCAGCACTGCCTTGTTTGCACGTTTCTAAGGAGAGGTGTTTTGTTGGGGGGGGACTGCAGGGGAGGGGAGCTGGAAAAAGTGACACGTGATGGGAGATGCAGAGCAGGACACCAGTGGTGCACAGTGTTGCTGTTGCTGGTCTCTGTGGAGGTCTGACCTCACTGTGGAGGGCTGGCATGGTCTCCTTTAAGGGCTTGTGGCTAAAACTTGAGTCGAACAGGGCTGGATGCTCCACATTTTCTAGATAACTCGGCTGAGAAAGCTGACGTGGCCTCTGTCTCCCTCTTCCTCTCCACAGTTGCTATAAACCTCATAGTGCAGCACATCCAGGACATCCTCAATGGGGACATCTGCAAGTGGCAGCGAGGGGCAGTGAACGGGCACGGCCGGCCCTACAAGCGCCCGTTCCCCGAGCAGACGGAGAGCAGCAGCAGCAGCAGCAGCAGCGTGCTGGCGGCCGGCAAGCGCTCCCACCTGGAGTCCAGCAGCCGCCCCCACTAACCCCCCGCAGCGCCCCAAGGATCTGCCTCTGGTCCAGCCCGACACTGAAGACAACTTTGGGAAGGAAGGACTTCAGCAGAACGGTTGGTGAAGTGCCCTTTAAGCCATCCTAGCAGCGGAGGGGATGCTGGTGTGATACTTGTCACAGAGGGGAGAGGAAGAAGTCGGCCTAATGCCCCCCCCTCCCCTCCGAGACCCCTCCCTTTTCTCCCTGCGATGTCTGGAGTGATGATGTTACTTGATGAACTGGTTAAAGGCAGTGCTACTTGCCATTTTTTTTAATTTTCAAAATGAGATCCGAGGCTGAAGTCTCCCCTTGAAAATTAAGCGCTACCAGGTGATTAGCAAGATACCCCGTTGCCCTGATTGGTGATCTTCCTTAGCAGGAAAATTACCTGCCTATTTCTTGGCAACAAAAGCCTGTCTCTTATCCAAGACCAGCTCCCACCCTGTTAGTTTTAACAAGTAGGTGCCTTCCTACTTTTCTCTTCTTCCCATTGTTGGCACCTTGAGTTCTGGCACGGCTCTCCTGCTGCCAGCCTGTGGGGGGATTGACCTGTCGAGGAATCTCTCCCCTGAGACAGAGATGAAACAGAGACTGTCTGGGACAAACAGGAACTTGCAGTTCATCAGGGGGGACAGGCCCAAGAAATTGTGTGATTCTGGTTCCTAATTTATTCCTTTATAAGCTCCCGAATGTTGCTACACTGTAGGATTATTTTTTTGTACCCAAATAGTCTCCTTTACCGCAGTTACTGAATGCACGAGCTCCAACTGGATTGAGTTGCTCATGGAAACAGAAACCAGACCTTGTCAGTATTAGTGTCTTTTTTAGGGCGTTTCTGTACTGCTGGTTGCAGATTCTGCTGGGCAGAATCCCTCCACTTCCACAGGTGGGTGGAAAGATCAGCAAGAGGGGCTGGGGGGGGTGACCAGCTCTGGCCACAATCCCGCCCGCACACGGGGTCAGAGCGCTGGCCTTGCACTCGGGCAGTTTAAACTCAAGAAGGTCTGTTTTTTTCCTAAAAAAACAGAGCAGACAAGAGGCTGGAAGCGTAAACAGTGATATCCCAGTTTCTGTAGTTTACCCCAGATAAGTGATACTGCAGCAACATGAAGCTTCTAGAAAAAAAAATTAATCTGAAAGGAAGTGCCGGTTGGGCCATTGACAGTGTCCTTGTGGTATCCTTCTTGAGTCTGGACTTACGGTGTAATTTTAAGAATATGGGTTGGGGAGAAGTATTATTATAAGGAACTTTTTCATATTTGCTAGTTTTCTAAAAGCAGGGTCTGGTTGTATTGGTTGTGGGTGTGTTACTTTGGCTAATAAACAAGTGAACAAACAGTGAGCAGAAATGACCGTTTTATATTTAAAAAAAAAAAAAAAAGGTGTTTGTGCTGCTTGCACTACACCAGCAGAAAGGGAGGCTTCTGGAAGCAACATGAAGCTTCTAGAAAAAAAAATTACTCTGAAATGAAGTGCTGGTTGGGCCATTGACAATGTCCTTGTGGTATCCTTCTTGAGTCTGGACTTACGGTGTAATTTTAAGAATATGGGTTGGGGAGAAGTATTATTATAAGGAACTTTTTCATATTTGCTAGTTTTCTAAAAGCAGGGTCTGGTTGTATTGGTTGTGGGTGTGTTACTTTGGCTAATAAACAAGTGAACAAACAGTGAGCAGAAATGACCGTTTTATATTTAAAAAAAAAAAAAAAAGGTGTTTGTGCTGCTTGCACTACACCAGCAGAAAGGGAGGCTTCTGGAGAGACTCTTACACTCAACAGGTCTTTCTCTCCTTGACTCAGAATTGTTGCTGTTAGTTCTGTAATGGCTGAAGCTCTAGAGGAAAAAGAAAGCTTAAAAAAATGTGGTCTGCACTGTCATCCCTGTTAGTTCTGTAATGGCTGAAGCTCTAGAAGAAAAAGAAAGCTTTAAAAAAATTTGGTCTGCATTGTCATCTCTATAGGCCTTTCAACACTGGAACTCGGAAATGGTCTGTTATCTGTTATATTTGCTAGTTTTCTAAAAGCAGGGTCTGGTTGTATTGGTTGTGGGTGTGTTACTTTGGCTAATAAACAAGTGAACAAACAGTGAGCAGAAATGACCGTTTTATATTTAAAAAAAAAAAAAAAAGGTGTTTGTGCTGCTTGCACTACACCAGCAGAAAGGGAGGCTTCTGGAGAGACTCTTACACTCAACAGGTCTTTCTCTCCTTGACTCAGAATTGTTGCTGTTAGTTCTGTAATGGCTGAAGCTCTAGAGGAAAAAGAAAGCTTAAAAAAATGTGGTCTGCACTGTCATCCCTATAGGCCTTTCAACACTGGAACTCGGAAATGGTCTGTTATCTGTTAGTGATCAGCTGCAGAGAAAGCAGGTCCTTTCTGCTGCTGGGTGCTGTTTAGCTCAGGGTGACAGACTTAGCCTATGAGCTACTGCCCTGAAGCATTAGCTATCGGGGCTGATTTAAGCAGGAGCAAAATAGTCACTAAAACCTCCTTTGAATGACTGTGGTGTTGGATCATACCTTCCTCTGGGGGAGGAGGGGAGCTCAAAGCAGCCTTGAATGGCATTTGTTAGAGCAGGGAGGAACTCCACAGCACCCTGCTCTGTCCAGGGCTGTTCTTGGTCAGCTCTGAGCTGTACAGTGAGATCCAGCAGCTGCAGCCATGCGGAAAAAAATAATCCAAGGTGGTGTAGGTACTGTAACCCTTCCTGAATAGAGCTGTTCTCTGTCAGCGTCATCAGTTCTGCCTTGCTCAGATGTTCTTCCTACAAAATCTGGGGTATAACCCTGCAGCCCAGTAAATAAAAGGCCACGGGCTTCCCGAGAACGCCGCAAGGCCAAAGGGTTCTTCTGGCTTGGGCTGACTTCTTGGTCTGCCCGAAGATTTGTTTTAGCTTTGTCTAGCTGTAATAGCAATTTTTTAAAAATGTCTATTTGTTTTCTTTTTGTTTAGCTTCATAAAAATTACGGTTATGCCAAATGATTATACATAGATAATAGTAACAAGTCGTTATTCTATGAAGAATGAACTATTTATAAACTTAGCTTAACACTGCAATGCAGTGCAATAGGGATGATGGCAGAGCATTGGAAGCAGGGGCAGATAATGCATTGCTGAGGAATATTGTCATGGGACGATGCTGAAGACTGCAGGGCCAGTTACTGAAAGTTGCAGATGTGTAAGCTTTAGAGCTGGGAAAACTTAGTTTTTAGGAGTAACAAAGAAACCAGAGAAAAGTACCTGATATGATGGAGAGAATCTATTTATAGTAACTTGTACCAATGGAATTGCAGACCAAGGTGCTAGGGAACAGATAAAATAGCCCCAAGCGCCACGTAGTGCGAGGAGGAAGAAACACTCACCATCATTCTCCCAGGAAAGAGGAAGAAGAAGCCCTTGCAGCAGACTCTTCCCAGCGAAGGACCTGGGATGCTGTTGACTGAAGTCAGCGGCCTTCAGCGCCCGAAGGGCAAATGTAGAGGTGAAGAATTGTGCTCATAACAGCTATATTACTGTTGAGACCTTTTCTGTAACAGTATTCTTTTATTTTCTTTTTCTGTAATAATTAGATCTGGACAACTCTCAATTATTTGACCAGACTGTTAAGATTTCCACGATACTAACAATAAATTCTTGGCTTTGCATAAAAGGCGTTTCCTTTTGCCTGTGACAAGGCTGCAATTGTTACTGTTTTTGGATAAGGATGTTCCAGCTGTCCTTCCAGCGCAAGTCCTTGAGCTCTGTAACAGACAGTGAGGGCTCCCCATAGGTGACAGGGCTGAACGTGCGATAGACAAGGTAAACTGAGGAGAACCAGGCCACAATCAATGCACCGAACATGCTCTTGAGAAGCAGAGATCTGGGACGAGAGGGAAAGAGCAGTCAGGTTACACCAGGGATGGCCAAACACTTTATCCAAAAAGGGAGACCTAAATCTGGCCTATGTTTTCTAAAGGCAAAGGCCAAAGTGTGGCCACTGCTGGAAAAAATCACTGCTTTCCCTGCAGCAGCTTGCCAAGGTGACAACCCCAGAGAAAAGAACTGGAAAAAAGTCACTTCTCTTGTCTATCTATGTGTTAAAGCCAAATACCTGCAGAGATGATTGCCAAGATGCTGTAACACGATGGGGATCAGGAGAATCTGGAAGGTGAGGGCGGGCAGGTAGTGGTACAGGAAAAGCGTTTTCTCCATCAAGAAGAAGGGCAGGTAATTCACAGCCCAGCCTCCAACACAGATGCCCCCAGCTGACACCCACAGCTGCCATGCATCTGCAGGAGACAAGAGACAGTTCAAGGCACAGGCCCTGGCAACCTAAAGTCTCTAAGAGGTTGCCAACTTGCATAGTTCAGGGTTTTTTTCCCCCCACTCTGTGCAGTTTGTGCTAATATAACTTGGCCACACTCAGCCGAGGGAAATGGTTAAATTTTGTGACACTTTTACGACATACCTGGAGACAGATGACAGCCAACAGCTTCACCATAGGACAACAAAATGTACTGCCAGGAGGGGCAGCGTAAAACTGCCCCAACAAACAGAGGAGATGGTACCTCAGCTGGAATGAACACATCTAAAATAAACCCCTCCCTGCACAGCCAGTACCTACTTCTGGTAAATCATCACAGAAGGGCTCAGTAAACCCCAAATCCGATGCCTGGAGACTTCTTAGATCCAGGGAATGGTTCAAATAAATACTATGCTGGCTATGGTATTCTTATGTGGTGATGGTCATATTGCAATGACCATAATCTTCATGGGCTACTCTAGATGTTTGTGTGTCCTTAATACAAATTCCAGGGTAAGTGGGCAGGAAGAAGCACTACCAAGCACATAGTTACAAAAATAACAAATTCCAGGGTAAGTGGGCAGGAAGAAGTGCTACCAAGCACATGGTTACAAAAATATGGCTTTGGGGCCATTAAAGTGTAGCAGAACAAGTGACAAACAACCCTCCCCCAATTCGACACACAAACAATGGAATCAGACCTTCAGGAATGTCGTAAATTTTTCTTCTCCGTCGTATCAAGTACCACAGGGACAGACACACGTAGACCAGAGCAGCAACATTAGCTGAAGCCCAGGTGACAACATTCCCAAGGAGGTGGATCTGGGCCTGCAGAACAGAGGAAGGTCTAAGCCAGAAGCAGGAACATGCTGCAGTTCTTTTAGACAAATTTAAATACTACTTAAACAAATTTGCTAAATTAAACTTCAGCTTGTGCCTGGCTAGTAACCTGCTCTTTCCTGGAACAAAGCAAGCTGATAAACTTTGCTGCTTCAAGAGTCTTTTGTAACATAAGGCATTTAAAAGATGCTATTAGAGATGAACTCATCTTCTAAATGGAATCAATAATGGAAACGACTGAACTGCAGTTTTCCTTTACAAAAAAAATGTGCAAGAAGACATGATTTAATTAAAAGCAACTACTGCCAAAGCTGTATCACCTGCCAAAAAAACCCAATCCAACCCTCAGGGAAAACACATTCTTAATACAGGAAGAGTCCATCCTGGAGCAGCTCCTGGCTGGAACTGCTGCCCTGCCCTCACTCACACTCATGGAGTGCATGTCTGAACTGAAATCTGTTTTCTTCACCAGGTTCACATTCACTTCTACCTCTCGTACTTACACCAGAGGTGGGGTGGAGCCAGTAGGCAATATTTGTGTCCATTGTGATCCAGTCGAGAGCAGAGGAGCTGTACTTATGTTCTGTGTCTTCATTTTTTAATGTGAGTATTTTCCACTAGGAAAAAAAAAAAGTAAACAGAAGGCTTTCAGAATTGGAGCAATGAGTGGGAAAGCATGGGTGAACAGCTCCAGATGTAAGATGGTCAGTTCTTAACCTGGGAGCAGAGAAAGATTTTGCGTATCTCATACTAGATGCTGATCAATACAATGGTTTCATTTTGTTCTCATATAATGCACTTTCCTTAGTGAATTTCTACAGGGGTAGTTAAGGGACATCAACACTACTGGCTGCACGTACAACACATCACAGCTCAGTTTCAGACAACTTCTGGGTGCCCAACGGATCTTCCCCACCTTCTTTTTTTACAAAATCACTTGGGTAATGGTTACTGAACAGCAGGAAAAAAAAAAAGTAAACAGAAGGCTTTCAGAATTGGAGCAATGAGTGGGAAAGCATGGGTGAACAGCTCCAGATGTAAGATGGTCAGTTCTTAACCTGGGAGCAGAGAAAGATTTTGCGTATCTCATACTAGATGCTGATCAATACAATGGTTTCATTTTGTTCTCATATAATGCACTTTCCTTAGTGAATTTCTACAGGGGTAGTTAAGGGACATCAACACTACTGGCTGCACGTACAACACATCACAGCTCAGTTTCAGACAACTTCTGGGTGCCCAACGGATCTTCCCCACCTTCTTTTTTTACAAAATCACTTGGGTAATGGTTACTGAACAGCACAGGTCTCTAATGCCCTTCTAAGTGCACTCAGAAATATTTTTTTTCAGTGAGGAAGCCAAGCTACTCTATCAGCAAGGAATAAACAAAGAAGCCCAAGGCTCGGAGTTTGCAGAAATGCTCAGGTTCCTGCTCTGCAGCAGCAGGAAAGATGAAAGGAGTAAGAAGACACTCACCTGCAATTCTGTGAACTTTGCCATGAAGCTGAGGTTTTTACTTATGTCCATCTGTGTAGGAGAGTGGAGTTCTACTTCCCTCTCTTTTTGCTCTTGGCCTGGAAGAAAACAGCACAGCTCAGAAATAAGCACGTAGCAGGTAGAAAGCCAGAAAGGGGAGAGAGCACATATGATACACCCTGGCTCCTCACGCTCCCGGGAGCCCTTCTCCAAACACAAGAGAGCTCTAAGAGGATTTGTAAGGATTCTGACATCATGAGAGAGCCAGAGCCTGCTGAACACACACATACACATGGTACCTCCTTCCATCAACATGAAGTGTCCCCCCAGTCACAGAAATCTGCTTTGAGAACACGGCTGAGACGTACTTTTCCCATATCTGTGCTCTTCCACGTTCCACACCATGCTCTGGTGGTAGCCTTTGGACAGCTTCTCTCCAACCACCTCCAGCTGCCGGTACCCCCACTCGGGTAACGACGCTCCACTGAGCTGAAAGTGAAAAAGGACCTTAAACTTCCAGTTCTGCCAATGTGAAGCTCAGGCTGGAAGTTCTGAGGCCTGCCTGAGCACTGGATGGCTAGAAAGTACACAAGAGTCACCAAGCAATACTGTGTCCACAAATGCTACAGCCATAAAAGTCAGTGATTCTGGCAAACTGAAGTATTCCAGCCACTGTCACATACTACACACAGACTCAGCATCAATTTCTGAGGCAGTATTTAAGGCCCAGTTGTGCACATTGGTCACAATCTCCTGAGAGGTTCTGCAGGACAGCTCTGCACGCTGCAAAGGCATGAGGTAGGAGTATGACTACCTGAAAAACACACTGTCCTTTTACCACATTAAGCAAGTTTATTGTTTCCTTGTATTTACTTAATTGGTTTAGGCACTTTGGAGCAGTGAGGTTAGTAGTTTATGAGATTACAAGAGCTGCATGGAAGAAAAACTATAGCCAAATAAACATAAATCCACTTGCCTTTAGCACTGCAGAGGTGTTCAAATGAACAAACCTCACTTCTGACAGAATTGTCTTCCACACATCTGTGTCTGACTCCCGATTTACAATTTCCTACAACAGAAAGATATCTTTTGATCCTCATGTTGTCTCAGCTGTTTCTGCTGGAACATGATGGGCTCCTCCCTTCGCTTCGACCACTCACCACTCTCCAGAGGTTCTGTGCTGGCATAGAGATGTTATAATCAATATAGCAGGAAACTTCTTGGGAGTGGGGGCTAAGAGGGGCAGCAACATCATGCCTAGAAGACAAGTAAAGCAAGATCATTCCCCAAAACACCATTTCTTAAATCCACATAAAAGCAAACTCATAAAGGTATTGAATTGGCTTTGACCAGATTCCAAAATAAAGCAAAACCAAGTAACCAATTTATACAGATTGCACTGTTTACTCTGAAAGAGAACACTCCCCACTACCAAGAGCTGCCAGGAACAGGCTCCGAGGAAGCCAATAGAGATGCCTGCTACACCAGGCTGAAGAACAAGCACCGATTGTGACAAACAGAGACGCTGTTCACTGGCATTTCCAATAACGAACAAATTAGCTTTGGAAGGGACATAGCAAAAACCTAGGTTCAGAACAGCTCGCTTCCTAATCTGAGTGCAGGCAGACGCCCTTCGGGAAGCAGTCAGGAAGCAATTTCATTGCAAAACAGCTAAGAATTTGTGGCAATCAGCCACAGCACACTGTATTCTCCAACACTTCTAACTTTCAGAGCACACCCTTCATGCAGGAGTATGCCCTCAAAGTCAGTGGAGCTGGTAGGTGACTTGTGGTTAACAGTCACACAAAATACTAAATATCTGCACCTGCTGGGAGCAGAGGCAGTGAAGGAGGAAGACTCACCAAGGGGACTATGCATTAGGAATCTGCAGAATGATCATGAATTGTGAACCCGGGTGAAACCACCACCAGCCCCTCTAAAGGCCACCAGTAGCAAGACCAGAAACAGCCACCAACCACTGAACAGTTTGTGATTAGTATCAAATCCCACAGCCAAGTCAACCACAAAAAATATATAAGCACACAGCATCCTTTCTTTGGGCTACAGGGATGGCTTGTCTAACTAACCACGAGGTCCCTCCTAGCCTCACCATTTAAAAATCCATGAAGAACAGGCAGTCTGCAGTATATCCGAATGCAAGGGTCACTGCACTTCGACTCCTTAAGAGTTATTGTGAGAGACAACAAAGCAGAATGACCCAAGTCTGGCAGAGGATGAGGAAAGGACTTACGTGTTGAGGTACCGAGTGGTAATGCCGTGGACCAGCTGCACGATGTGGCCATGCCTGACAGGACGGGGGGGGTTACTCACCACCAGCTGCTGCCTGGGGGAGCGACACCCAAGAGGAAGTGGTTAAATTCTTCTTTCAATATAACACAACCCTGTCATGACCAAACCGTTAGGTCAAGAAGCTGTGGGCAGGGACAGATGTTTAGGCAGCAAAATGAGAAATTCAAACAATCTATAGATTGTACCAGAATGGAAACAAAGTTCATCTAGGCAAAGGTGAGTTAAGGACAGGATGACTCAGAGGATCGGTAATGGGATACTGATATCCCAGCCATTAGGTCAGTGGTCTGAATCCAGGTCAGTCAGGAGTGAGTTCAGATTATTCCCATCACACAGCTGCTCCCTGGCTTCTGTGAAATGAGCAAGTGCTTCTGTGAGGTCTGTCAGGTGTTTGTACCACACTTCTGGCACAATTATAAGAGAGATCAATGGCTATCTCCACCATGAAGACCAAATTCTCGCTTCTGGACAGGGCTGAGGCATGTTCCCCCTTTGGCAAGGGGGAACACTGCAGTTCACCTAACTGCTGCCTGTATTTTCCTGCTCTACAGCAGGACTTCATACCCTCCAGGGCTCAGACAAGTCTTGAGTTTGAAGAATTTTAAGAAGATAATGGGGTTTTTTTTGTGGGTTTTCGGTAGAGTCCCTGCTTGAAAGGTTTGCACTATGGACAAACCTTCCCACTGTGGATATGATTTATAACGGCACACAGTCCTTCTGGTAGGACTGTTTATACTGTTGCCAGAGCAACATAAAGAACCTGCAAAACCAACTTTTTGACAGTATCAAACGGTATCACACAAGGGCTTTTACTGACAAAACCACAAGAACAAAGAGTCCTCCTCTCCACTAACAGTTAAAATGGCAAAACAGCTCAGTGTGAACCAGACTTCTCGGGCACAGGCACCCACCTGGAATCCCTCCCCATGTGGGAGACTCTACAACTGATCCCTCAGACTCTACAACTGATCCCACACTTTAAACACAAAGAAACACTCATGCTGCAGAAGTGATTTCTACTCTCTTCTGAGACCATGCAAGTTTGATAAAACTCATCAAGGCACTCTAATGCCATGGCTCACAACACTTCAAAAAGCAGAACTTCCCTTTCATGCAAAGCACCTGAAGAGTTCCCACCAGTCTCATGAGTCTTTAAAGCTCCCCGTGGGCACAGCACAGCCCACGTTCTGGCAGGAGCGGTGCAGACAGAATTTCAGAGTCCTCAAAAATGCTTTTACCATATTGAGGAGGATTGTGCAAACAGCTGCCCTTACCAACCCTGGAGCTGAAATACTTGCTCAGGATCACACATGGCCTCTGCACCCATAAGCAGAGAATAGTTATGTGGAATCCAAGCCCTGGTTAAGGCATGGAAGCACACAGAAGCTACGCTTACAGCAGCTTGGCATTTAAATCTCTTGCATACTCACATCCCAGGATCTTTGACAATCCACCAGTTGTTCACATCCTTGAAGGGATAACAGGTCACCTGCTGTTGATGGGAACTACCTCGGCCATTCTCATACCTGCAGAGAAGGTTAAAAAAACCCCCACAGGTGTTCAATAGCACATTTCTGTGCTCAACTGTCATAGCAATACAAACCAGCACCAGATCACTAGCTCCATTCCTGCAGAACGCAGAGAACTTGTTCATCTGCACTGTGCTCTGAAGGATTAAGAGATTGCCAGGACCCAAACTGAGATATTTGGACTGGCAGGTGAAGAACCAGAGCATACTTTCACCCTAATAGTACAGACTCAACCAGATTCCTCACCTGATGGGATAAGTATTTGTGTGAGAATGGAGCCAACACTGCATGGGCTTGCCCAACACGTTCCGCAGGGTGATCTGAGAGCCGTAGGCCACCTCTAAGGGCTGACCCTGAGTGATTCGAGCCAGCCCACCCTGAGAAGTATAATGACAGGGTAAGTGGAAAGAAGAAGAAACAACCCAGAGGCTGTTTAAATTCTGTTAAGAGTCATGTGCCACTTTAACCTAGCAGTATCGTAGCACCATGCTTTCTCATTTGGTTGTATTTACAAAACTCAAGTCTTGCAGCACCACACTCAGTGAACAGTAAATACTCCAATGCCTGAAAGACTACAAGGTCTTAGGGAATATCCCTAAATCCATGTTGTTCTAAAAGACAGACTAAGCACACAGAAATTCACACTACCATCCTGTAGTACACAACGTCATCACTTAAGAGTTCAGTAATTCTGTGGAGTTTCCTGTAGGAGGGGACAAATCTTCACCAGAAGAGTGAACATATTGTTCTTGGATCACCGGGAAAAGCATTTCATCCGTTATTAGGATTTCAGTTATTATTGCTTCATCTTAAAGCAGTACTACAGCAGTAATTAAATGACACAAAAGGAACAAATAAGCAGGATCAAAGGAAGAAGATTGCACGCCTTTCTTCTAATAGTGAACAAAAGATAAATTTCCCCCTGTTCTCCCCCAATAAATCAGTTTTATGACCACATTCCCTTTACCTCTAAGCTGGCTTGAAAAGCACTTGTCATAATCTGGTCATGAGGCCCAGAGCGATACAGCAAAGTCAGGTGAACATAGAAGAAGGACAGGTACATTGCCACTGGGACGACGACGAGGGCCAGTCCCCTAGCTAGAAAATGGCACATCAAGGAAACCTAGAAGAACACGGAGAACACACTGGTTTCATGCTCCAGATATTAAAAATATTTAAAATACCCGTGCACTTGGCTTGTTTTGCCTGTCTTTTTTTCCCAGTTTCCCCAACCACCCGTATTCAGCTATAACTTCATAGACAGCTGGATAAGTTCCCCTGAGGATTTGAACTGGAGCCAACAGGAGGTATGTGAAACAGTATAGGTTTTGAGCCACAAATCACCAAGCCATGGATAAGAGCAGAAAAGCCAGTCACACACACACATGCTTATCTTAAAGTTAACTCCATCTTCTCCAGCAGCTGAGCTGGGAAACTGTTCTATGACAGGAGGGTCTGCAGACTATGACAAGGCATTTTGGTACAAAAACCACATGGTTATGTGCAGGCTTGCAGGGCTCGTGACTGGCTCCTGTACTGAAAAGTTACACATAATATATTTCGCATGTTGTGCTACCTACATTTGACAAGTTTGGGTCTCCTATCATGTGCCAGAAGTGGAGTCCTGCGATGCCCAAGAGCAGCATATAGGTAAACAGGCCCATATATTTCACCCTGAGAAGCAAGGGCATAAAAAATGAACGTGGTTAAAAGCTACCTAATTACCTAATACAAGACATAAACATTCAAACTTTCTCTTGAACAGGATGCTTCTAAGTCCAAGGACTAAGATCCATGACAAGTTTGGTACAACAACAAAATCAAGCCTTAAGGCTTTGACACCAGATGGTATCACTTGTTTGCTAATTACATTAAATAACTGCAGTGACAGAGAACTTTCTTGATAACAAGCTGGTAGATCACAAAGTAGAAAGTCCCTAAATTCCAACTTACTGATGCTTGAAGCAACTAGGAAGGAGGGGTGAAATGCTGAAAGCCATCTCTGAGAAATGCATTTTGCTCTTCCCAGGACAGTACCCTCTAATGCCTGGCATTGTCCACTGTGAACTGACACCCTCTCTAAAGGTCATGGGGAGGTCTGCTCAGAACAGCACCAAGAACCAGACTTCAAAATCCAAAGCCCTGCTGATACCTCAGGTGGCAGGCAGGAAAGTTAGATTATTAAACCAAAGGAAGATGTCATCACTTACCCAACTGCACAAGAACATGCTACTCCAGTCAACAGAAGCCAAAACCACCAACTTCCAGAGAAGGAACTTAAATAAAAGGACAAAGGAAAGGATGCTATGATGAGATCTGGGCACCTTCTTAGGATCCTGAATTCAGGTAATTTAACTTGAAAAAATCTTGCAGGACTTCAACATTCCTTATTCTACTCAGGGGTATTTATTTCTGAACCTTCCACACTACCCTCTTAGCCCTGACCTACAGGGTGTTCTTAAATGTACTTCCCTGTATACTGAAAAGCAAATAAAGTAAATGTATTAAATCAATTGCTGGGCTCAGTTTAAAGATAATTTTACTTTACTTAAAATTATTTTAGCCTCTGCAAGGATCAGGAAACATGTAAAGTCACAAAAAGGAGACAAAGATCTCTAAATTCAGTGCCTGTAAACAGTAGTGAAGGAGTGCTAAGTGATCTGTTATCACCAGGGTTTCTGTGCACAGAAAGAAACCTTCCAGTAAAAAATCCGGGTGCAAAGAAGTGCTCCCAAGGGATTTTATTATTATTGTAAAATAAGAAAGGCAACCTTGCTACCAATTAAAACAGTCTTTAACAATGCTCAGAAGAGAAAACTTCTGGGGCAGTTGTATGAGAGGTCAAAGCATTCGATTTTACCGACAGATGAAGTAAGTTACAGAACGAAGTGTCTTACAGAAAAAACCCCCACACAGTCTGTGACAAAAAAGAGTCACCACAAGAATATCCAAAAGGATGGGAGACAATCCAGCTTTACCTGTGCCTTTGCAAATTGTAGAACTTCAGGTAGGACAAAACTGCAAGCAGGATAAAAAAAATCAGTATCGATTCCAGAAGCATGAACCTCGACTGAGTGATCAAAGAGTTCTCTGTTGGAAAAGGGAGACAAACACAAAATAACAGAAACTTATCTATTGGCAAGTGCTACCTCAGACAATCACATCATTATCCAAGAGAAAGACCTGCCCCTTTAAGGACAGCCAATTCACCTGTAATCTTACTGGCTGTAATAGGGAGGTGTTGGGTTTAAAGGGACAAAAACCTTCCAGGAGGGGCAAAGTACATGGCTGTAACTGTCTCCAAGGAAAACAAGGTGGGCAAGTAGTAAAGTCAGATAAAGGAAAACAAGGTGGGCAAGTAGTAAAGTCTGGCAGGAGGCAGATAAAGGTTCTATGCTTGCCTACAAAGGCACAAAAAAATCAATTCTGGGCTTCTCGAGGCAAGGAGAGTCAAGGCAGTGACCCCAGCAGGCAATGAGCATGACAAATCTTCACGAAAGCAATGAGCTGCTTTGTGCAGGATTCCCTGAGCCAGAATCAGTGCAGCCAGTAGCCAGGAGAGGTTTCTCTTATCAGCTAAAGGGCTGTTGAGAGGCTCCTTCCCTTCCAGGCAGCTGCCAGCAGACCCTCACAGAAAGTTACACACACTAGAACAGTCTATGCTAAGGACACAGACTGGTTTGCTGCACATGAAGAAATTTGATGAGCTCTAACCCTGCTCAGGAGGGTTGTCCTGCTGTTAAAACTGAGTTATGTTGTAACTCATCCTGTAGAACTGAGGAAGAGAGTACAGGCCTCCTTGGATGCAAGAAACGTGGTTTTCTATGAGGCTGTTAAGGCTGCCCACGTTGCTTAATAATGAAATTAACTTCTACAAAGCCTCAGCCTAGAATAGCAGCCTGTGCAGAGCTGTAAGGAGAGAGGGGACCAGAGAGGCACAGCAAAGACTGACACAGGCCAGGGCTGAAAGTGTTCTTAGCATTCCATGGGGAGATGCTACTCCTGCCTTCTATGCCCCCTAAAAATTCAGAAGGGGAAAAGGGACCCTTCCCCCCCTACATGAAGAATGGGGCCCAGGGGAATAATCTTACCTAAGAGAATCAGAAGAGCAGCTCCAAATGCAGCACAGTGAGAAAACTGCAGTTCTACCAAGATCTGGTAGGCTAAAGGCACACAGAGAGCACCAGCCAGTGCTGGCAGGAGTCGCAAGGACCAAACAGGAACGTTCATGCTATATTCTGAAACAGGAGGCAACAGTGAGGCACAAATGTGGAAACTATTAATTGCAGAGAGGATGGATCAATACAGAGCTCCTCATGACTACAAGCTGCTGAATCTAACTTCTACTCTTTGTAATTTAGTATCTGTCCCATACTCCTTAAACTGTTTTAACCGATGAAAAAAATCTGTGCTATGGAATCATAAATGCCTTACACTTCTGCTAGAGATCTGCAGAAGACTTACTTTAAGGAGTGAAGGTTTCAGATAAAGCATTATTTCCACTAGTTAGGCAAAGGAATCTATCAGTCACTGAAATACTGCTTATTTTCTCAGGAGAATCAGGCAGTTAAAATAAGCTCTTACCAGCTCCAATCCTGTTCCATAAGAAGTTTCCATCAAATCCTCCTAAGTAACCTACAACATAAGCAACAAGTCAAAATTTCCAGTCTCAAAACAAGTATAAAAACTAAATTGGTCCTGGAACCATTTCCCAAACACATAGATTTTCCACGTATGAAAGCCTTTTTCCCAAAAGGGTCTTTTTTTCGCGCAGTTTGGCCTGCAGCAGTGCTTGGTAATGTCCAGAGGCACAAAGAATATAAACTGGGAACAATGGACTCTCAGTGACAAAGTATATTTAATCTCTACTTCCCATAGACACACTTTTATGTTGTGTGTATCTCAGCTACAGAAAGGAACTCAGGCCTGAAACTCTGCTTGTTAACTACTATTTCGCATCTTACCTTTCTCTTTATCCAAAGGATTGGATAACGAGGTAATGGATACATGGCTCCATCACCTCCCCAGCCCTCATGCAACAGCCCCCTAACAACACTAAATAAGGGAAATCCTAATTCTCGCTGCATCAGAATCTCTCAGCTGCCTTGTGTTTTTCCCCAGACACAGGATCTGACAACTCATTTCTAGCCAGCACTTCTCTCTTCCACAGAGACTTCCCAATTTCAGGAGAAGCCCTACCTCCCAGAGCCAGCAGCATGTGGCCAAAAGGTGGGCCGCTGTCATCCACGAAGAAGATCCTCTTCATGTAGAGGGAGACGAATTGGCCATAATAAACTTCATCAAAACTGAAACACAAGAGGCAGAAATATGTCAAGTCTAACTGGAAGTATCCTGGAGGCTACAGGGGTAGTAAGAAAGAAAACACTGCTGGCAGAAAGCTAAGAATACAACGAAACACAGTGACTTTACCCCTTCACCCTCCCCTCCAGAGATTCTATTAGGGAAACATTATCACCTTATTTACAGAGGTTAACATCAGGCAAGCTCTGCTCTTCCGCTCCTGTATTCTTACTCACAAACATTTAAAAAACAGAAATCTATGTTATTCAAGTAGAAAATAAACTCTTCTACTCACACTACAGCCCGTGGGTAGGAAAGCCCCCAAAGACGGCTTATTAATCCAATCACAGTCAATGCCACGAGGTTCACATTGATCTCCGCAGTAACCACAATGGGATTCTTCAGCAATCCCAACATCCTGTCCAAGGTCTGTGCAAACCTCCGAGGGCAAGGAGAGAAGAGCAACAGTCACCCTCTTGCTCAAAGCTGGCTGAACATCATTTGACAGAAAGTAGGGACCACTACTTGCTGCGACAGATCACAGTAACCGATCTTCCGAAGTTCTCTTGCTTTCCACATTTATGCATTTTCTGCTGTATTTACAAGAGTAACTGTAAAAATGCAGTTACTAAACTAACACATGTAACTTTTCATCTGCCCTACTTCTACACGCATATGGTTCTCTGCCATCAGTAAAAACTAGAAACTTTGCTTATTCTTATACTAGTTCTGCAAAACCACAATAGCTTCATTCAAGCCTCTATTCCACTTTGTTCTAAGCAAACCTCCTAGCCCAAATTCTGAAATTGCTAGTGACAGGCAAACCACATGCTTTGAAAAAAAGTAAAAAGAGTTACTTCCTTGCAGAATGAGCACATTTCTTTGGCGGAGGGGGCGGGGCAGGAGGCAGAACCTATAAACATCCTCTGCTTTAAAAAGCTGGCTATGGGAGCAGAGGTGCAGGTGCTGTGGGGCTCTAGCGCAGCCTAGGGGGAAGCGCTGCAGGAAGCAGGACTAACTCTAGGCAAAATTGCTAAAAGCTAGGTCAGAAAATAGTAAGGAATCAGTGTTGTTATCTCCTCACCTCAATATGACTGAAAGTTACCGGAATAAATCCATCTGCATGGCTTTGATCAGGGGAGAACAAAGCCAGAGAGCAAGCACATCACCACCATCAAGCAGGGTGCCACCGTCCTTGTTTCTCGCTACCTACAAAACACAAAGTGGTTCAGCTGCACGTTGCCCCGGGACACACTTTTGTAAGGAGCCCCTTGCAAAGCTGTGCTCTCCACTAGCACTGGGCATACCACACCACTGCCCCATCTGCCTCGGGACAAGGGCAGGCTATCACTCACTCTACCATCCCCTCACAGGCCCTGAGACCCCAAAGAACACCCTGACAGAGATGACCCTGCTTCTCCCTGCAGCACAGGCAGGCCTTGAGCCCTGGGGCAAGACTGCAGCACTACCTGCTCCCCCCAGACCTCATACACCTCCTCAAAGAACCATTAAGCCCTCTACCATGCTTTGCACCCCATTCCATAAGTCTTATGAGGGGTCAGTAAGACCAGCAAACACCCCCTAGGTATTATTTCCCCTTTTGAGCCTTTAGGGGGGCAGCAGAGCCACAGAACCCGCACCCAAGCCTCTCCCCTGAGGCTTAAAGGGTCAACAAGACCCACCAGCCACCCTGTATCACCCCTTGAGCGTTTTTTGGGGGGCAGAGGACCACTAACCCGCTCCCAGGCCTCCCACCCTCCCCTGAAGGTTTATGGGAGCAAGGTGGCCACAAGCCACCACCCCCCCCAGGCCTCGTACCCTTCCTCGAGCCCCAGGGGGAGGCAGCAGCGCTACTAATCCCGCTATCAGGCTTCACCCCCACCCCCCTGAGCCTTACAGAGGTGAGGGGGGCGGCGGGACCCCCAGGGCCCGCCCGTGTCCCGGGAGAGGGGGAGCGGGACGGGGACCCCCCCGGCCCTGAGGAGATGGCGGGGCCCGCCCCGCTCAATGAGGGGGCGGAGTCTCGCGGCGCCGGATGTGGCGTCAGACGCACGCACGCAGAGCGCCGGGAGGGCGGGGAAAGGGAAGAGGCCCGTCGCGTTGCTATGGCAACGCACACGCATGGCGAGCGGGCCCTGCGGCCCCGGCCAGAGCATGACCACCCCAGCCACCTCCAGCTAAGGAAGAACTTAAAACGAAAAAACAAACAAAAAACAAACAAAAGCCCCCAAAAAACCAAAACCACCACCAACAACAAAAAAACCCAAACAAAAAACCAATCAAAACCCCTCCCAAAAATCCCAACGCCCCCAAATAAACAAGAACCCCCAAACCAACAAAAAAAATACCACCAACAAAACCAACAAAAAAAACCAAAAACCCCAAAACAACAAACCCCAAAAAGAACACAAACACAAAAGAACACCCCCCCAAAGAAACCCTAAAACTAAACCCCCCAAAACCACAAAAACCCAAGCCAAACCAAAATCCAGAAAAAACACAAAAAAAACCCCCAAAACAACCCAAGAAAAAACAAAAAGCTAAATAAACCCCCCCCAAAAAACCCCAAAAACTCCAACCCCCAAAAAACCCACCAAAAAACAAAACAAGAAAACCCCAAAAACCAAAAGACGACAAAAAAACCAGAAACTGAATCCAAAAAACCAAACCAAAATGCCCAAGCCTTTAACCAAAAGAACCAGCCAAGGCACCAGGCGATTTGAGAAAAGCATAACCTGCTTTATTTTTTTTAATTTTTTTTTTATTTAAATAAGGAGAATTCTTTCATATGGAAAGAGCTAATACAATCACATATTTGAAAGGAGAAACAATAGGTACTGAAAACGAGGAAAAAAGGGCGATAAAGAGTGTGCCGCAACTGGCCTGGCGACGCCGCGATTCGAGTTCCGGTCCAAGTAAAAGTTTCCAAAGAAAAAAAAAAAATAAAAAATAAACAGGTTGCACGTTACACAAATTATCCATCGTCTGCCCTTTCAAATATCTGGTCTACATGAAAAGACGAAAAGAGAGGAAAGGCCAAAAAAAAAAAAAAAAAAAAGGAAAAAAAAAAGAATAAATTTACTATACAGGTGGTGAGGGTCAAAGCCTGAAGGAGCAGGGTATCCCCTTGAGAAAGGACGATCGCGATGGACGCGGAACCAGAGGGAGGATTCCAGCCAAGGACAACGCCTGGAGACATGCTAAGGGGCGAGCGCCTCGCTGCCGATGCTGTGATCCCCCGGGGGGGACGACGGTGGAAGTTAAACCCCGGGGGGGGTGGCTACAGCCACTAGGAAAAAAAATGGGTGGATTTTGGGTTAAAACAACCAACTAAAAAACCAAAGTAGCCAGACTGCTGCTGGCTCTTCGCAGCAGCTCCGCTTTCTCCGCGCCTTTTCGATGGGCCACAACTAAGGACGCCGACGCCTGTTATAAATGAATTCTTGTTCACAAATGCATCTTTCTGACACGGGAATTGGGCTGCATGTTCTGACATCACCCGGGCTGCAAGGAATTAACCTGTGCTTATACCCAGGCAGAAGCAAAAGGGGAGGTTAAAACAAAACGCAAGGGAACAGGCTCCTGGCATGCAGCGGTGCTCGCGTGGGAGTGAAGACAACAGCCTGCCAAAAAAAAAGGTGAGACGTAGCAAAAATGCTAGGCTCGTTTTATTTTTTTTTTTTTTTTTTTTTTGTTTCGTTTTTTAATATATATCTATAAATACACAGGAACCACAGGGCAGCTTGTAGCTTTGCAGCGTTTCTTGCAAGGAAACCGTGAAATGGAACGCCTCCACGTGAACACAAGCACGGATGGAGGTCAATGGGCTGCAAAAACATCCAGAGACACTGACCACGGAACTACTGCCACAGGGCAGAGCCGGGAGCCAGTTATGGAACATCAACATTAATACCAGTGACTGTGCTGCTTCCACTTGTCATTTTAAAATATACTGGAGCACTTTTTTTTTTTTTTTTTTTTTTTTTTAATTTTTAAATGAAGAGCTAAAAAAGCAGGGTGAACTGGAGCAGCACCCAATGCAGCTGCCAGGCCGTGAATCATTGTGTGAGAGAACTCACTACACACCTGGTTCAGACCTTCAGCTGAAGAAAAAGCAGCAAAGTCAGCCTCTGAATATTTCTGCTTCACCCATTGTTGCCGAAAATATGGATTCCCACCTCTCCCTCCCACTGCACCTTTCCTAGCAGAAGGAGCCTGCAATTTGGTAGCCAATTTCCAGACAAAGCAAAAGCAACTCGCAAAAGGCATAGATCATTAGGGCCCGACTGTTCAGCAGTGGAGACGGCAAGCAGAATTATCCCCGAATAAACCGTATCCACGTTCTATACATCTCCATTCTCCTCTTCCCCAAGCTGACTTAACATCAGCACCCCTGGCATTTCTGCACCTTGAGGATCAGCGACTATTTTGAGTCAAGAGCACCACAAACTGCACTAGCCTTGTACCAGCTTTAAACAAACAAACAAAAATAGAAGCTAGAGAAGAAGGATATTGCACCTAAGAAATCTGGGCTCTAAAACTGCTTTCCATCACACAAAACTCCATTAAGTGAAAGGAGAGTCTTGCCAACTGCAGCTGACAGTCACGCAAAGATGAGGAATGGAATGAAGCTCACATGCATTTCTTGGCCTTTCCTGCACAGAATAATTCAGACATAATATATAAATAGAGCAGTGAAACAATTACTTTTTCACCTAGACCTACAACATCAAATACGTATAAATAAATTCTAGTGTTTTATTCTGTTGGGGGAAGGAATGGAGGGGTTAAAAGAGAAAGAAGGGTGACCTTTTTCAACAGGAAGTATTGTAGTTCTGATGGCATTTACACCAGAGGGACTGCAATAACTGCTATCTAGCAATAACCCGGTTTCTCCAACACATTTGACCATTTTAAAGTCATATAGGTGGGAGGAAAGAGGTTAGTGTCTTTGTAAAGCTTAAGTAGTGTGTCTAGGGTGGGAAAGAGATGAGAAGAGGGGGGCTCGGATAAGTCTCTTTAGCCATTACAGTTAGATTCTGGGCTGGTATTAGCTAGGGCCAGCTGGGCAGAAGGATAATAAAATAAAAAAAAAAAAAGAGAAAAACCAGACAATTCTGTTGTTCATGATATTCCAAGGAAGAAAACAGAAAGGGAGGTGGGATGACCTACTGGTGGAGGAATCTTTGGAAAATGTTGGGAGCAGGACTAGCAGATGAGGATGCAGGTCTGGGGAGATGTCTGAAGGCTGGGGAAATACTTGTTGCTAAATCTCAAACCCTGTACTTTAAAGAGGACACTAGAGAGATGCTGGCACACTCTGCTCTGAAGTTAAAAACCCATAAAACATGAGGAAAAAAAGAGCTTTTATTTTTCTTAAAGTACCATCCTATCCCTTTCCCTTCGGGTTCTCTGCCATGGTCAATGGGGACACCTGTGGAGAGGGGACATCACTATGTCTAAGTTAGTTTAGGTTTCTAAGCTCTTTAAAGCTACTGTATAAAATTCTTATTTATACCTAGCTTAAAACTTCAAATGCATCCCTAGAAAGTTATGAAGGCTCTTTCCTAGAAAGGAGGGGAAAAAAAAAAAAGCTAACGAAGAAACAAGAACACCTTTCAGATCCCTTCCCAAATACATTCTTTGTTCAAAATATCTTCTTTGGAACCACCACCAAATGACTTGCTGCCACCTAGCAGAGGCAGACGGCACAGCCAGTAGCAAGCTATCACCTCCTGCAGAAATGAAGTTTTCTTTCCCTCACTTCAGAGTGACCAGCCTACTTTACATTTTTTGAAAGAGCTAAACAACACAAACCAAGTTAGCTGAAAGTAGCTGAGCTTACTTAAGACTACCGTCAGCTGAAGGACTCCAAGCACTTTCAGGGACTTGTAAGTCCATCCTAAAATCTACAGACACACGCACACACACACACACGCACGTAAACCAAAACCAAACAACCAAAGAAATAAAACCCCAACCCCCTCCCATTGGAACCTTCCTTACTGATATCTGATGATCTATGAAAGAAAGCGTAAGGTGATGACACTGCATACACACTATATGCAACTGCATCAAAAGTAAAGAACCCTTTGCTGTTCATCTGGGGAAGTCGAGTAAAAGGATGATTCCCAATTGCCTCTGGAACCATGCGCTTCCAACACAAAAAAGGAGGTTCCAAGTGTGCTAAAACAGCTGCTCTGCGGAGGGCCTCCCTTACCAATGCGTTTCTATGCAAATTTTACAAAAGGCCATGAGTTAGAGGAACAGAAAGCAACATCTAGAGAAAAAAAGGAGAAGAGCAAAGCTTAGGAGAGCAGCCCCAAGGGATGAACACAATATAGAACAAGTCTCAGGGGACACAAAGAATTAGAGCGGCCAAGGTAGGGAGCATAAGAGAGAGCATCACAACTACAAAAAGTAGTCCATACAGACCCGTTGGCTCTAGCCAACTCTTCTGACCCATGTGCAGTAAGGAGATTCTTTTTCTTAACAGATTTTACATTTTGCAAATCTATGATTTACATTTTGTTGTGTGTTTGGCAGTTGCTAAAAAAAATTCCCAAACCCACAAACAAAACCAAAACCTAGATCCAGATGAACTCGCAACAGAAATTTGGTGGGGTTTTTTTTCCTTAAAACGAAAATGCCACATTTTGTTGTGCACAGGGCACCCCAAAGCTACAATTAAAGTGGTGCAAGTTACAAGATTAACGCACTGATCTAGTATATACCTTTAGTACACATTTACTTCTAATGCAAGCACTGCTTCTAGCTTAAAACAAAAATACTGAACAATTAATGAATGCAGTAACTGTAACTGTCCTGTTTTTTTTTTTTTTAATCAAATAATCTGAAAGGCTAAATCATCTGGGGGGAAATATACCCAAACTCACTCAATTTAGAAGAGTAATGATTCTCAACATAGCACAGAACCATATATAAAACTAAGCATAGTTTTGTTGGAACATAATTTTAGCTGAAGGGAACTCTTTTCTGGAAGCAGAAAGAAGGGGGCGGGAAATA